CTGGATCACGATCGTTTCCATCGGAGCGCGCCCGGGAGAGCAGCCGCGCTGCGCCGCGCCGGTAGCCAGGGGGCAGAAGCAAAAAAATTCAAAGCCGACGCCACTCATGCCGGCGAACGGATTTTTATATCGAGCACATACGGAGCCGCGCGACGTGCGTACGATAATGCATGCGCGTGTATGTGTGTGTGTGCTCACGATGACTCGCGCGATGCTACTGCACACGCGAAAAAAGCTATATGTATTTAGCCTTGTACAGATCAATACGCACAAGTATCTCTACTCTCTGATGAAACATTTTTTATGTTACTTGGATGAAATTATCAAGCTATTGAAAAGTATTTTACAAAAAGAGGTTATGCAAATTTTCTCCCTGCAAATTTTTTAATCAAAGTCGAATAACGCTCAGTTCAATAATAAAAAAATCAGATAACTTTTTTTTAGATTAGTATTAGAAATAAAAATATTTAAGATTTGAAAAAGAAAAATTATCTTAAGAAAAACTTATTTAAAAAGTCCATTTAATCTATAATAGTATAATTTTTTTTCATAGACCACCACAATTATCTTCTAAAACCGTAGGTTTTCTGGTTTATAGAAGGCTTAAGATAATCTTTACTGATATAAATTATTCTAATTGAAGAAAGATATTTCTATCGGCACTCAGTTACATAAAATGAAATTTAAATTCCGATTATAGTGCTGCGATTAATTTGAAAATTAATATGAAAATGAAGAAAGTCGAATTTTCATATTTGCCACAAATAGACGTTTATGCTTGATATAGGCTGAGAAACATTTTTAACTATTAATGTGTACGGATTGCACGCTTGTAAGGTGAAGAAAGCGGGTGCATGTTTCAAAGACAGACTTCTCCTTCCTCGAAGCGAGGGAGCGCGAAGGTATACTTTGTCCAGGAGTTGTTGTATGTATCGCATCGGATTTCACATGAGGTCTGTGGTTCTTTGGAATGGATACTCGCGCGGTTATGGATTACGATCACGATAGTTTGCAGCCACGGCTGAGATGCTGCGCGTATACATAAGACATACAAGTACATAACACACGTGAAACCTTTCGATTCACCGATTGACCCTTAGAAGGCATGCCAAAAAGAAATCTATTTGAGGACTGTTACGAAAAATAAGTGGTTAAAGATCGTGATATTTAGTGCAAGAAAAGTACTATAATGCATAATTAAATATAATGCATAAAATAGGCATCGCGTCATGGATAAATATCAGTCAATACAAAACAAAATTTTAGACGAAAATTATAGCAGGCATTTAAATTACATAAATGTTTTTTTTTTAAATATATTTTTTAAAATTATGAACTTTTTATTTAATATACAAATGCGTTATTCTAGGAAACAATATATATCAGAAATATGCATACCAGATACAGTTACTTACAATTAGTTCCAAAAATGGAATTTATGTTCCTGAGTTTGAATTACGAATTATTTCTACATTTCTATTTATGATTAGGATATGCACATTAAATAAAGAAGGCATACATTCCGGACAAATACAACTAAAGTTATTTTTAACAAAGTTGATAATGAGATTGTATACTGACAATTTATTTAACCGACGAAAGACCTATGCATCTATTGACTTTAACAATTGATGATATCTTCTCATTTGATATAAAATTATCAATGAAAAATAATTAAATGTAAATAAAGTTTTCATAGATTATAATAAAAATAAATATTTAAATTCATAACACAGAGAATACATATATAAATATATTGAAGGATTAATAACAAGATTATTCCTATAATCACTGTTTTACTAGCAGTTGTTAATAATTAAATTTTTGCACGCTGCATTAATTTTGTAATTTTTTTAATTTTAAGTATAAGCTTTATATTATTTTATAATAAAATACATATATTACAATTATAAATTATATTACCACGTATAATTTCTACATTGTCAACAGTAGATGAAATATATGTACATATATAAGTATACTGTTAATGGTGCATAAATTATTAGTTTTCACCAGATTATCTGTAGAGAAGCAAGTTTTATTTTATATTATAAAAATTGATAAATTTTATTATACATTTTTATTATAACTTATAAAGTAATCAGATCCATATTTTTTGATACAATTAGATATTATTTTTGCAATAATCAATTTGTTTCATTGAAAGAGTGACAAGACTAATTTTTATTTCTAAATAATTGTAAATGATATTAAAGTCTTTTATTTTACGCGATTTTTATATCCAACGTTATTGTGCATTACAAATTTCAAGATGTTCAATCAGTTTTATTGATTTTACACACATTAAAACATAATTTTATTAAATTGAATCTAGTCAAATTTTGAATTCTCTAGTAGTTCTGTGTTATTTTATAATAATGTATTGTAAATATAAATTTGCACAATATTACCACGTACTGTTCTATATTGTCAACAGCACATAATTCAGCTTCCATTAGACCGTCTCAGGGAAACAGTTGTTTTATATCACTACGTCAAAATTGATAAATATCAATTTTATATTATTTTTTAATTATTATGTATAAGTATTTGATCTATTTTTTAAATAAAAAACAAGATAATAAACTTTTTAGTAAAATTTTATCCAGTATTCTCATTTATAACGTATTTTATTGCTGTAAAATAATAACAAGTTTTTGATACATATACAATATATCTTATTTAACATATAACTGTATATGTATTAAATAATATGTTATTCAAAATCAATATAATAAATAAAATATTAAATTAAAATTTGTTGCGTTTCGTTTTCAATACTTGTTTGTCCGAAATACTTCTTCCAAATAGTTTAGTATAAAATTCAATCTAATAAGTAAATTCGTATCGTTTGCATTTAAAGACAAATATAGGTTTAATTACAAATTTATGAAATTACACTTACCTGTACACGTTGCGCCGAACGAGGTCACTGGCTGCTTCGAAAATAAAAGTCGGAAAGTCAACATATGCAAAAGGTCGGGAGAGATTGCATGCACGATCGCAGCTGTGCTGATGATGGGTCTGGCATGCCCTTACCTCTCCGCCCTACATAGATTTTAAGGGAGATTTCCTCGTGAAAAAAGAAGCAGGGGATCGAAGGTTGAGAAAATTTGTGCGTTTATTAGTGAAGACGACGTTCGAGCAATCTCACCGCTTAATTTCATCGACGATGCCGACGCGAGGCCTCCGGAAGTCGCGTTGAGGTCCTTAATGAACAGCCCTGCTAAAGATAGAAGAGGAGAGAGCGAAGAGTGTCCGAGTATCTTCGACGAAGACGGATTTAACTTCTATATCACAAAATTTCTATATCACAATACTTCTTGCGACTTGCTTGCAAAAATTGCCAGCGAAAAGAAATCAAACGAAACAAGGATTTATAATGATAACAATAGTCGCATAACAGCAGTAATAATGATAATTACTCTATAACGATATAATATAATAACGAGAATAATGATAAGATAATATTGCATTTACAAGTCTTAAAGGGACTTCTTTACGCCTATTTATATGCCGTTGTCGCTCTATCCTCTTCTCTCTCGATCTAATTGCGCAATTTCTCACTGCTTACGATTTTCACCGTATCACGTTCGTCTTCCGCTTCTCGGTGTCACGCGAGCACGGCGTCGATGCTAGAATTTAAGATCGACTTGAAATTTCCACTAGGTACCCGTCTTTCGTTTTCGGTCGCGGCGGACGGGCTGTCCTCGCGTCGAACAAAGAATCGAAGATTAAAAAGATTCACGCGTCACCCTCTCGCATTCTCTTTCACGGTTACTCTCGCACGCTCGCATTCGGCACCTATGTGGAACATAGCACATATTTTTCTGTATATTTATATATATATTTGTTCTCTCTTTATATTTATATATATATATATTTATATATTTATATTTATAATCATTAATATCCCTTCGTTCATTATACCTATCTATATATTATCTACAGGGCAGTAGCCAAACGCTGACTGACTGTGCGAGTGTTGTCGCTTGTGCTATCCGCTCGCGACGATACCGACAACTTCGATTTGACTAGAGAGACGCGCGCTCATAACATCGTCTCACGCCTCCCAATCACGATGATCCCCGGGAGAGTTCACGCGCGTCCATTGTTTATGTGTTATTTATAATGGTTGACTTGTCTACCTGTCGCGACGTAATACCGATCTATGTCGCAAGTGGAGATCGCGCGGGCGCGCCGCGATGCGCTCGAAATTCTATCGCTCTCTTGGTCGTTTCATGGCGCGGCGAATATTACGTTTATCCACTGAATATGCATGCCAGCGAATTCCTGAGAGTATATTGTTTCGCGAGGAAAAAAAAAACAAAAGAATAAGTATGCAATAAGTACGTAATGTGAGGTCTCTTGAGCTTGCGATACGCCGTCGCGGTCTCGGCCGAGCGTCGTCGTCGTTTCTCTTTCCCCGATCGTGACGCAGAGATCGGTCCCACGACGTGAGACGAGATGCTAACGGTGGCGGCAAGTTTACATCTGACATTCATTTCGCATGACTTGTGTCTGACATAAGTATACGAACGCGCGCCGGGAGGAGTTATACTTCGGGACATTACTTTATATTAAGCTGGCTATTAATCTTTGCGTTTTAACATTAGTCGCGTGTTTCTGACACCTTCCCATATTTCTTCATGTAATAGTATTCTGAGACGACCCTCCAGCGCTTGCATTACTTTACCATTGTCAAACACAGTGCTACGCGCGTACATAAATATTGCACTAGATCTCAGATGTAAACATACTACAGGGAACATTCGTGCGACACTTCTGGAAGCAGAAGATATAAATCCGAAGGCGAAGTGAATCGTTCGAGTCGAAGCGCATCGCGGACGAGAGGAAATTCCGGTGGCAATTAAGCGGGCGCCGCGGCGCGAATGATGGTTGGGCTTTTCGATCGTGCATCGTTTACGAACGTCGATGATGCTCGAGATGTCTCGTGTCGTGTGTCACCCTCTTTTACTTTATTTTTATTTTATTTTAAATCCTATTCCATACTTATACTTATGAATTAGCGTTAAAAGATACGTCCGCACCGCGACGCCTCAACTCGCCTCGCTTTTCGTCGAGCGCCTCTTCCGCTGTGTGAAATTTCTCTTTCTCTCTTTTTTTTCTCTCTCTCTTTTCGCGTTCCTCCTCTTTCATTGCTCTCATCGACGATGTCAGTTCAATTTTGATGCGACAGCCTCGACTTTTCGCGCGAGTTTTCGAGGGACACTTGGTATTTTTTTTTCTCGTGTTTAGGCCTTTTTCTTCCACGATCGCGCGTTTCCGCGTGACGATGACTAGATTCTATACGAGCGTACGCGCTTTGTGTCAGCGTCAGTACATGTGTGTGCGTGTCTCTGTACACGTATGCGTACGTACGCGCGCGTGTGTTTGTGTAATCGTGTATATGCGTATACATGTGATTCGTGTCGATTGAGTGTCATTTTCTCTTTGGTGATCGTCACATTAGTTGACTTCAACGCACGTTCGATTTTTGGTGTGTTCTCGCTGGCAGTAGCTCAATATCCGCCATGGGGATGACGCACCAGAAGTGGCGAAAATCCCTGTCCATCGGTAACCCGTAAAAGTGTGGTGAAAGCGAAACGAATCGAGGTATCCTTGATGTTTTGCCGAAAAAAAGACACTCTCTTTTTCTCTCCCTTTCTCTTTCTCGACAATATCCTCGTTTTTCTGGATAAGTGTACGTACGATTTTTTTGCGACCTCGTCCTTCCCGAGGAGGAAAACTCGCGGACTCTACTGGTGATTATAGAAAAGTGCACGCGATAAAAAATGCATTACGATACGTTACCCTGAAGTTACAGCGGGCTGTATGACAATGTTGACTCGATTCTCCCCCATTCATGGAAGGTAATGTCGCGGAAACGAGAGAGAAATAGAGAGAAATAGAGAGAGAGAGAGAGAGAGAGAGGAGAAAGAAAGAGAGGAAGGAAGAGAAAGAGAGCAAACAGTAAGTTCGATCTTGAGCAGATTAAACCTATGTTCACGAAGACACGCGACATTCTTGACTAATCCTTGCTACGCGCGTTAATCTTAAAATCACAGGAGACACAATCGCGATAAAAACCGTCCGGGGAATCAATTGCGTCCTGAGAGAGGGATTAGTATTCATTATTCCGCGAAAGTTCAATTCACGAGTGGAACTTGTCCCTTCGCAAAAAAATGCATACTCGCGGAATTTCGGTCGAATACATATGACTAGAAATATGTGGCGATTATCATCATCATCATCATCTCTTCAACATCAAACGTGTCAGATAATTATAGTTATGTATTATGTTGTGAGCATCTCGTTTCGTCGAACGTGCCATACTTAAGTCAACCTCTTTCAGTCTGCTTGGCCTCTGGCAAATTGAGTTAGAATCATATCTCGTCAACGTTTTACACGCGCAAATTTAAGTAAAAAAAAAAAAAAAAATACTCAGAATCTAATTTGCCTTATTTGCTAATAAATATAAGAGGATACTTCGACTATTTGTAATGGCTTGTGAAAGACATAAGGTATGTGATTCAAATCGAATTCGCTTTTAAGCCGAGAAGAGCGAAAGAGAAAGGGGAAGCTCGCGAGTCGATCTTCTACTCGAGCTCTTTTGTTAAGTTACAGCTACAACGAGGGTAAGATCGCGAGGCTCGAAGATCGATGGACACGGGAGGATCGATGGTGTTCGCGTTTTGGTGCCCGTCATCCCCGTGCGATCGCGTGACCTTCCTTTCTCCGGCTATACGATCCACCGTCCCCGCGTGTGCATGCGCTCTGCACCGAACTGCTGAAAGTGGAACGCCACGATTTGTGATTTTACGCGACCGACCGCGATCGCGATTTCGTCGTACGTTCAGTCCATCATCATCATCATCATTATCATCATCGGTGTCGTAATGGCTCGCGTGCAATGGCGAGCGCGATTACATGGCCCCGTTGCGCCTTCGCGTGGAAGAGCGAATCACTGAACAAGCTCCCGGCTTCCGTGCGAGCAATCTGACGCGACCAGAAAGCTCGTCGTCCACCCCCGTGGGGGGGGGGGAGGGATGGAGAGATTCCCTCCTGCGAGGGGATTAGCTTCGTCAGCCATGTCCGCTCGGGCGATTCCTCGCCTCGACGGAGGCTCTCCGACGAGGGGGGTGTTTTGCAAGCCCCTGCCGAACGGCTCGGCCGATCGTGGCTTTGATGAAGGTGCTTGATTTTAGAGGTCTTGGTCCGCGCTCCCGACGTCTCTGGACCATCACGATCACGATTACGTCGCTCCTCGCTTGCTCTTCGTCTTCCCACTGTGCTCCTGCCCGCTGCCCGGGCTGGGCGGACCGCTGCTAGTCATTCTGGCCACCCTTCGGTAAATCTCGCTGTTGACAAAACGCGGATACGAGTCCCGGTGCATGAGGGTGTAGATTTGCAGCTGCGCCTCGTCAAAGGTATGCGGCGTAGGCTCCACCATGTTGCGATTCACGATTTCTCGCACCCGCGAGTCCAAACTCACCTGCAAACAACAAAGAATGTGGATCAATTAAAATTTTTGTGACATATTGTTGATCACATGTATCTAAGAATTTTCTGCATGAAATTGCAACTTGTATCTTATTAATATTTAATTTATAAATCATTATTTACATGCAACTTTTTCTTCCTATCCTATGTATTGTAGTAAAATTTTTCAATTCTACAATAGTTTATTATATTATCTGTATCATATAAATAATTTTACGATGATTCTTCTCTCCCTCTCTCTTGTAAAACAATAATGTATAATAAAATTTATAAGTTGCATCTCTTATTCTTTTAACTAATTATATGGATATAATATTTTTAAGGACACATAATACATAAGGACATATAATATTTTTAAGACGAATCCAATGGCCTTGATAAAGATGAACATGTTAATACATAAGTTTTTTAACCAATTTCGCAACAATTTTTCTTTATCACAAAAGTGGCAAAGCACCGATATATTCAAAGTTATAAACAACGATGAAAAAACTTTCCGAGAATTATATAGGTCATAATATGTGTACGACGTACCCTTAGCCGCGATCGTTTTTACGTTATCTCGTAAAATTATCTAGGTGATTGCAATAATGCACGGACGTGTACCGTACAATTTGCCGTAATGTTCGAATAGCAAAAGAAGGTTCGTGCATTCGCCCCGTTTGGGTGAATAAGTCGTTAAAGGGGTCACTGGGTCACTAGGTCAGTCGGTTAATATGGAAGAAATCAGTCACGCGCATTCGCAGCTTTTCTCAAACGAAACACTATATTGCAAAAGTATATCTCTCTTCGCTTCAAACTGATGCATTTAATTTCGCTGCCTCGTTTTTCTAATTCTTGCGCGTCCGTACACTCGACTTTTCGCATCCGATAAAATGGCGTAATTAGATAATACGTCCAATAACGTTATCGATTCTATCGTCAAAGCTAACAGCTCTGGAAGCTCTGGTAGGAATTATTTTATGTTATGAAATGTGTAAGTGCTTATGATGCATCGCACGGGCTATTCAAAGTAGTAGATACTGATCGCATGACGCTGCGTATGCCATTATATTAACTAAATAGATGGTTACGTTAGAAATTGCTTATATATTTCCAGGCTATCTCTACTTCGGTCGAACGTACCATGATAGTAGAGCACGTTTTTCCCAGAAAATAAAAACAGTTTGTTAATGTCGCGTACTTTCAAGCGTCACATAAAATAGTTACAACTCCACTTTACAATAGTCATTTTACCAATATCTATATATGTGTACATGATGTTGTTATTCACACTATTTTAATGTAAAATAATATCACTATTTTATTCAAGAACAATATACTACTGTCTGTCTTACGTTGTTATAAGCGAAATTTTATTAAAGCTATCTAATAATCGCGAGAAAAAAAGTAATAAATAAATTAATTCAAAAAGATTTCAAATTACTAAATAAATTAAAAGAAAAGAAACATAAAAACATATAAAAAATATGAAAACTTTGTGTGTGTGTGTGTGTGTGTGTGTGTGTGTGTTTCAAGATAAATAATAGTTTTGACTAGATCCAAGACATCTGGGGAGAAGCTAACGATAAATCATAATGTTAATTTGAAGTTACCGCAAATTTCAGCTGTCGCCAGTAATTATACTTTAATAATAATAAAAATATCTTATAGCTCTATTTTTATAACGCAACTATTTTTATAAGGCAACATAATTATATCACTTTATATAACTGTAGATGTAAATAATAAATCAGCGGTCATTTGCTGGCTGTTCCTGGGTGGTTTAAACGAGTTACAATTACGATTTCTTATCACGCGTATAAGTAAGTATTTTCCACGAAGAGTTTACTCACTTCCTTTGGCGAAAGTATGGATATGTAATCCTCGTAAATGTAGCGCGCCTTCTCCTCGATCGTCTCGGGATTGCTCTCCCTCTTGAGTTGCTCGCAGGCAAGCCAGAAGGCGATGTTCTCCTCGCTGTACTCGCTCACGAGAAACTCTCTGAAGAGCTTGCGGCCGGCGGAGCTCCTCATCAGTTTTTCGAAGGACGAGCCCCACGTTCGGACCTCCTCCAAGCTGCAGCGCTCCGGACCGCCGTCGAGGCCGTCGAGTCCGTCGAGACCGTTACCCGCACCTGCACCCGCGAAGTCGGTGACGCTGATGCCGCTGCTGTGATCGCCGCCGACACCGGCATTGCCCTTTTTCTTGCCCTGATCGCCCGCACCGCCGGTACCCGTCGAATTACCGCCGACTGCCGCCAAACTGAGACGACAGCGCACGTTAGAATTATCTCGCAAGCCTCTCGTTATTGTTATAAGCAAAATCGTGTAGGATAATCGAGACTGTTAATTGAAAAGATTGTGATATGAATGACGAAAAATTACCAGCTAATTCATTTTGCTTGAATCGCATTCGAAAAAAGTAGCATTTACTTGTATTCTATGTAGATTTTATATATTACTCTATAATCGAAGAGAATAATTAAAAATAGTTCTCTTCTAAAATAATTAAAAATAATTTTCCTTGTATGTCTGTTTTCGTGCAATTATTTTAATTTACTTTACGTTGCAATTATAATAAATGAAAGGCGGATTTTCGATCGGTTCTGCCGATTAGGAATTTATCACAGATTATCGATAGATATTGATGTATAGCAATTGATAACCAAACGAGTTAATTATAACAATTGTAATATTACATGATGATTCTGATTAGCAAACATAACGGAAGAAATATAAACGCAAAAGTAATGATAGATAATCAGGAATGAAGGGAGGCAGGCAGGCAGCGAGGAAAGATGTGTGGAAAATGAATATTAAACTTGGTAACCTCGAGAAATGAAAAGATATAAAAAATGAGTAGTTGAGGGAGGAGTATAAATCTGGCGGATGCACACACAAATACAGCAGGAAATGATAATGGATGATGACTAATGATCGTCGGGATAGCTAATTTAATCGAGATTGTGGATAACGAGATACAAAGAGACGTAAACGAGCGGCATCGAACCGAAAGAAAATATTAGTCGTGTCGATAACAGGCATAGAACCGGGTCATTGGAAGGCCGATTCTTTGTGCTTGATGACGCGGCTGTCCTATGAAGTTTGCGAACCACAACTGCGGAAATAAACGGAGATTCTGAACGGTTTACACGACTTGATCAATTGGCAAATAACGAAAATGATTGTTTCTGTACTAGTTGCCATCTGAAATCGATCAGACCTGCATTTATTTCTAAGTTTCTTAAATTTTTTTTCACTTAACTGAATAAGAAAATAATATTCAGTAATTTTATAGTATTTTTCATTGTGTGTTTGTAGATTTATTATCCATTGAAATTTTATTTCAATATAACACAATAATTTCTTTTAAAAATCTTTCTCAACTTATGACAAAACTATAATATAACTAATGAAAGAGACAACTATGTATTAAAAAAACTGTAATTTCAGATATATTATTGCTTTTGAATGAAGCTTTAGACTGCTGTCGAGGGTGCGTTTGCCTTCGAGAGTTAAGGAAGAATATAACGTTACGCAACATAAAACAAATAAAAACCTTATGGCCAAATCGAAGAGACTCCTTACATTTCAAGTATTTTTCGAAAAGTTCCTTCACATTAATATGACGAGGCAGTTAAGAGTATACACCATACAATCGCATACTATCGCGGTAGGAATTCAGGAAATGCCGTTGCACCTCAGACAGACTCTTTCGGGTCGATGCCAGCCCAGAGTGAGTAGGCTACTCGCGTATAATCTGTAAAGATGGCTCGCGTAGGAAGGACGCGTGGTATGTGCATAACCCCGTTTCTGTGAGCCGTAATACGTGCATTACGATAGCATCATCATCGACATAACAAACAAGCAGCATTAACGCACACAGTCCGTGGCCTGCTTACCATTTATTCCTACTTGTGGCATGAAACACAGAAAGGCAATATGTAGGTATGTCTGCACAGCAATAAATGGATCACACGCGAGAGTTTAAAGACAATGGACCGATATCGTTTCAATGGCGAGAGGTTCAGTAGATGAGGTAAGCACGAAAATAGACGCGCGATAACGATAATAGCGCGCGTTGCTCGCTTTCATCTATCTTATGCTAGCGATTACAATGAAAACTCTTTGCGCTGACTTTTCAGTAACTCGCCATCACAAGCACGTAATTATAAAACGGGAGATTGAAGTCATTTCGCCCGATTCGGAGGTCTTTACATCTCTATTCTTCATTAACGATTTGTCCATTGTCGTGTGAATCGAATAATGTCCTTCATAATTTAATAAAATGTTCCGTACATCGGTACGCTAACCATTTAAAAGACAATTCAACGCGTCATTGTAAAGGAAAACAATTCGATAGATCAAATAAAAATCTAAGAGATAAAAAGAATTTTCACATTTGATTTTTTTTAAATAAAAGTTATCATCATTTTTTGTCTTATAAATAAGCGATTACTATAAAATGTTAAATTTACATTCTAAAAGAGCGATCAAAAAAAGATGACCGAGTTTCGTATCAGGGATTTCCTTTAGAATCAATCGTATCGATGTACGAGACGTGATCGGACAGGATCGATAATACCACGAGCAACTGCAGCAACAGCACCAGCATAGGCAACAGTTGTCCTTCTTCGATCGGCCCGTGAATCCGGCCGCCTGGCGTTGCTGTTGCTGCGACTGCTGCTGCGACGCGGGCGCCTGTTGCTGCTGCTGCTGCGACTGCTGCTGCTGCTGAGACGATTGTTGCGGATTACTATGCTGCATCGTGGACCCCGAGGCCTGGCCTTGGTTCTGTGCACGGAGGCGGCAACCACCAGCTACACCTTCGCCGCCTGTCCCGTGACTAACGCCGATCCCCATTGCGGTTGCACCAAGTCCACTCGACATCTGGAAGCGACATCCGCCCTCTGAATCCGCGCACCACGTGCGAACGAGCTTATCCTGATTCTAAGAATAGAATTCTACTAAATCAGTGCCTTCCGGAACACAATGGACCACTTGTCGGTTTTGTGATTTGTTTACGCAAAGTGACTGACATTGAATTTTTTTAAACATATCTTCAAATATAGGTTACAGACTAATAATATGAAGTTCTAATACTAGTATTGTACATATTTAGTACATATATTAATAGAAAATTAAACTATATAATTTTTTAATTATAATAATAATTATAATATAATCTAATCAGTGTACAAAGGTAATAATCATTTATTAAATATCAATATGTATAATTTACCATCAAGATATAAACAGATATTTTTATTGCAAGACGAAGATAATTATAAGAATTTAATTTTGATAAATAAATTTGATCAATTTTTTTTATTTTTATGTTGAAAATAACTTTGACAAATTTTGGAAGGGAAATAAATTAAATTGATTCTACGTTAAAAGTTGATTTTTCAATTAAGCATTTAGTATGAAATCATTAAGTTCCGATATTTTAAATAGTTCACAATAACAAATCCTAAGAAGAGAACAGGACAATCTATTCGCGTGTGGCAATACGATAAAGTTAAGCTTTAGTCAAAATAAGCTGGTTGTACGATAATTGACACATAAGCCTTCAAAAAGCAACCAATTAGTTCGGATACGATTGTCGTACGCTCAGCTGCACGTATCGATTGGCTTGTATTTTCAGCGTGGCCCGGCGATGGCGATATCGAAGTGAGAGATGTAGCCGGAGATTTATTATTCTTCCGTTCGCTGTTCCGTTCGAGGTCTCCGGTATTTAAAATTCATGATCGCCAGACGGCTGTGCTGACCGATATTGGATTCCCGGAGAAAGTCTAAGGAGAGGATTAAACCCTTAATGCCATATTTAAGAACGCGATCTCAATTCGAAATTAGTATATTTCCGATCGTTTTTCAGTAGGTTTTGACGTTTTCCAATTGCAGTTCTGCTCATAACATTCTTGGTTTTAGAGCAAATCAATAATTTAGCTGCGCATATTTTCACGTTGATCATACATTGTCTTTCTCTCTTCTTTTTTAAAAATTACACAAGAGATATGATATAGCGATAACAAATATTAACAAATATTACCAATATTTTATTGCAATAATAATAAAAAATCAGGAGATATTTATTTCAAAGGCAAATATCGCAAAGATCAACTTTGATACAGTTCAGAATCTTTGCATCTGTTCCTATTTCGCTAAACGAAAAAGAAGTGTAATTCGAACAAACGAGTGAAATTCTGAGCGCATGTATTTACTTCAATGTCCAAATCTGGCAAAAATATTCAACGCGGCTTGCTCATTCTTGCAATATAAAAGAGATTCGCGGAACGAAGTTTGGGTGTATGCCTGCACATGCACGTAACGGCGTGCGGCCCTTTATTTTTACACTGTGTTGTATATCGATGACCCGCTCTCCGTGCGGCCTCGCGCGATAACGACTACATCGGACAGTCGCTTATAGGGGATGTGGGTAGAGGTTGATAAACAGCGGCGGGCACTGGCGTAAAGTGTACACGTGTATCCTAGAGTAAACGTGGTTGGGGCGCATACGAATGAGCCGCGTGAAGATGAGAGGAAGAGAGAGAAAGGCGTGGAGGAAAGAGAGAGAAAGATGGATATGAAACAATTGGGAAAGGAAATCGAAATTGGACAATCGGGATCGCGGAGATTGGGAAGGGGGGCCGTCGTTTAATCATTTATAGCGCGGCGATACCTATATGAAATCGGACGCGGATTTACGCGAGCGCGGCGATTTAGAGTGGTCAGGAAATAGAAGCCGGAAATCGAAGAGAGACCACGCGCAAAAACCGCGTTTCGAGCGGCTGGCTCGTAAAACACACCGCGCGGTTTGTATACGAGGTGAATTCCATTCCGTAATCTGGCGGGTCGTCTTTCTGAAAACGAGACTTCGGTTACGAGATAATATAACGATGCAAATTTCAATAATCCTCTCGGCGATTTGTTTTGGCAGACATTGTGGAAACAAGAGCCGATATTTACGGAGAACACTGCGAAATTTAGGAAACATTGCTAGGCGATTAATGAATTTTGCATAAGTTAGTTTCAAAATAGCTTAAATATAAATAAGATCTTGTATCACCAAGCCATGCATATCCCCGCAAAACGCGTTACAGGATTGTGTTTTTAATAGAATATTATATAATATTTTAATAAAATATTATTAATGTAATAATTAAATAAAAATAATATTGGAAATTAATTCATATTAATTTTACAATGCTTACTAAAGAGTTTAAACTTGATCATTAATTAATGATACTAAAAATGAGAATAATAAATAAATGATTTACGTTTATTAATTATTACTAGGTTCATTTTTGATAGTCGTTATTAAACAGAATAACACTTCTGCTGGAATGTATAGTTTGGCACGGAGAATGATTGACATTTTTTAATACAATTTTATATGTCGGTTTCTTCTCATCACACCCCTCAGATGCAAATACTGTCGCTGCGTTTAAAACGATTCTGAAACGGCGATAGTGTTTACGCATAGCTGCGTGTCAACATGTCAATGGCCCAATGGTGTTGGCTTCATGCAGCACGCAATCGCGGAGCACGTGCAAGCTGCAAGCTCCCGTTTTCCCTCCTCTCGCAAGCTTCGCCCGATAATCCCGTAAATTTATTTCGATCGGGGCAAGTGTATGCGCATATTCAAATGAATTTGTTATGCCCCCTACGTGAACATTGAACGAATGGCAAGCTGCAAATATTTCGAGCGAGATTCTAACCGGTGATAATAGAGTCCTTGTTCATGTTATTATACTATGCTATTTCAGAATTAATTTGCAATAATCCAATTCTATACTGGGATAATTTAAGCACGGTTGAATGCAATCGGTTTTCAATATCCAATCCGGCTACATTGTTTATTTGCATGTTACTAAATTAGAAGAGGCTTCGTAAACTCCGAAAATTAGACCGTTAATTACGTTGAGAATATACGTAGGAATTTTTATTATTATTATAGCTTTTTAAGCTTCCCGTTTCACAGAATTAACTGCGACGTTCGCCATGTGTGTTAAATCACCCTTCGGGGGAAGATCAGCGCGACTCCATTACTGTTCCGTGCTGAGTCTTTAATCCTTTCTTAAGATAGACGTAACGATTACAAGTACGTTCACGTCCCTTGGCTCTTACCTCTATCATGTTCCATGCATCCGAAAGCGAGCCCAGCTCGCTTTCCGCGTCTTCAGGATCAATCTAATCGGCGCGTGACCGGCGCGGCGCCGAGATGCGGGGGTGCGGGTGCGGGCACGGCCGCGGGTGCACCGTGCCCGCGTTCGCGAGTGTCCCTTCCGATATGCGATCGTTCCTTTAGCCCGGTCCTCCCGCGGAGCCGCCTCGCCGGGCCTCGCCCGAAGCCCGCATGCTCCCAGCGCGCACCAGTACCCCTCAGTCGAAACCGCGTAACAGCCCAGCGTATGAATCCTTCACGGACTCGCGGATGGACACATAGGTGCACGCACCACCGAGCAACCAGCCGCCAAGCGGTTTCCTCGCCTCGCGATCGGGCGAGGCGCTACTACGCCGACGATGATGGCGACGTCGCGCGACGACACTGAACAACGGCGGACCCCAATAAGCGGAGGGTTACGTCGTCGACGTCGCGCATGATATTTCATCCATTTCCCGCCTTCTTCCGCTTTCTGCTGCCGCTGATTGTCCGTCGTTTTTCCCTCGGCGATCCTCTTCGTTAATACCACCCGCGCCACGATACCACTCCACCACCGTCACCCTCTCACGGCGCCCTCCACCCTTCTCTCTTAACGGGACAGCCGCGCGCGCGGATCGACTGGCCGAGTCGGAGAGGTAGGAGAGAAAGGGAGAGAGAGATAGAGAGAGAAAGAGAGAGAGAGAGAGAGAGAGAGAGAGAGAGAGACGAGAGTGCGCGGATGCGAGACCCACAGAGAGGAACAGGAAGTGAAAATCTTTCGCTACCGATGGCGTTTGCTCTCAAGGATCAGCGCGATACGATCGAGCGAATTTGTCGCGCCCCATAGAGATATGTGGTATCTCAGAGTCCGAAAATTCGTTTGTTCGGTCAGCCAACCGGGACCGAATCCTTGAACTTTTAGGGCGATGACGATGACAACGACGTTGAGAACGGCGAGACCGTCGCACGCGATCGACTCATCACATTCCTCAATTACGCTTTACGTTTTAAAGGTGCGGCTGCGTCGCGCCGTGCCATGCTCTCGGGCCAATGCCGAATCTCACGTTGAACATCTCTTTTCTTCGTGGCTGACCTAGGCAGCTGTATCGCGATATCGCAGTTTTCGTTCCCCGTTACGTTTGACGGAATTATAAATAGGTACTCGCGCCTGTTAGAAGATGTTGCGCGAGGCGCTGGCGCGGCCAAGCTTAAATGTCTCCGCTGCTGCCGCTGGCTCGGATCGCTGCTGATACTACCGCTGCGTCTGCCTATGTTCCTGATGCTGTTGATCGTGCTGACAGGCGCTCGTCCCGCGTACTTCGCACGCGCGAGCGCGGAAGAAGACGCAAGGAGGAAAGAGATAGGTAGGGAAGAGAGAAAAGTAAGAAGAGAGAAGGGAAGATGATGAAAGGAAATAGAGAGAGAGAATGTTAAAGCGTGTTTGGTTAAGCAGAAGGAGAGGAGCGTTGAAAGTAAGAGCGTGATGTAGTAGGAAAACAGATGAGGCAAAGAGAGACAGAAAGGGAAGAGAGAGAGAGAGAGAGAGAGAAAGGGAAGGAGAGTGGAGCGTAAGCGAGTCGATGCGCCGGTTATTGATTGGCAGCGGTCGCGAGACCAGAGAGAGAGACGAACCCGCGCGATGTCACGCCGGCAAGGTAGACTGCTGAAGGCTATCCTCGTGCTAGCTTCTCGTAGACTGACCGCTTGGTATCGGAAGACTTCCGGTCGAACGTTGATCGTTGCC